ATGATGGTAAATCGTTCACTCTAGATGAGTACTATAAATGATAAAAAAATCATGTCTTCCGAATGTACTATTAAGATTTTATGGAAAAAAAGCTAAAGGTCTTCCGGCCAGACTGATCATCCCCATAGATATAGTATGAAAGTATACTTATCTTCTATTTTAGTTGAGCTCTCGAATCTTTCACTCTTATACTAAAAGTAATATACCAGAAGAATATGTCTCTCCTAGGTAAACTTGGAATTTTCAGATGTAAAGATATTTTCAATCAATGTATATTTCAATTAATTTTTATTTCTACGTACAAGTGTTTTTTTATTTCATTACTATTGTTAATTTTGTTTGTTTTTTATGTTGCTTGAAACACAAACAAATTAATAATTTAAAAAAATCGTTTCTAAAATCAATCGAACAAAAGAAGTAGATAAAAAATCGTATGACATGTGTTGTTGTTGATAAATTTGTAAAAAATAACGTTATTGTACGCCGATAAGACAAGTTATGAATTTTTAAACGAAAATGAGAGAATAGAAGAGTAGATGGAAATGTTAGTATGAAAAATGATATTGCAATAAATATTAATGATAATGTTAGTTTTCGACTATGACCACGATTTAACCAACGCATAGGATTATTTAACAACATTTTATTATTTTTGATACCAGCAATTTTGTGCCTTAATGAGCATCGTGCGGTTGTGGCTGTTGTTGGTTGTGGTGATATTGTTAAATATCCATTGTTATTATAAAATAATGCTACAGATAATTTTTTATGCTTAATAAGACGACGTTTACTTTGAATTATTGTACGTATTAAGAGAGCATTAAAAATAAGTAGCAAAACGCTGGGTAATATACTGTAGATAACCAAATGAAAACGTTGATAATATATCATATAATTTGGATAGTGGATATTTTTATAACAATGAACAATGGTGTTAGTGTGATTACCACGATTACTAGTACTATAACCATTCATAATTAATATATGGATATTTGACACAAGAAATGTACAAGTAATAATTAAGCAAATGATAATAGTATAACTACGTTTACAAATAAATTTAAAATAGCCCAATTGTTTTATTAATAAGTAACGATTGACAGAACCAAATGCCAGTATCCATGAAGATGTTTGAAGTGTGGTAAAGGCTATAGACAAGAAGAAAAAAAATAATTGGAAGATGTCGTTCACATCAGCCTCTAGTGCCAATTATTCTGATCCTTTTTTGATGGCCTGATGACACACTATCGCCGCTATTTTCTTGTCTTCATATCTTTCGAACGGAAAAAGGCCAGAAACTCACGCTTGTCTCAATTTGAGACGAAAACGTGCTTAACAAAATTAAGAGCACACTCTAAGACTCGCGGTTAGAAAAATATTCAACACTACTCTAAAAAAGTTCTCTTTTTTTTTACCAATGTATGCCTCTGTTTTGTTGATATATTACTATAACCAAGAGTCTTAGAGAGCTCTTAATTTTGTCACATTTTCGTCACAAATTGCGACGATCGAGAGTTTTTGTCCTTTTTCTGTTCAAAAGATATAAAGATAAGAAAATAGCAAAAAAAGTATCAAAATCACGTTTTCGACTGAGTTAATGGAATGACTACATCCTAACATTTTTCTTGATTAACAACGGAATAAAATCTGATAATTCATTCTTTCTGTTTGCCCTCCTGCATGTATGTATGACATACTAAAAATAGACTTAATTTAATGTTGTTTCTTTAGACTTTGCTCGTACTTAGCACACAATTACAAATCAGAGCAGTTATATATAAAATAGTTCTAAATTATAATTTAATTATAATTTTAAAACCGCTTTTCAGCTACTAGAGACTCAAGCAGAACTTATTTCTGGCAGAATGTCTTGTCAGGTAGTTTCCATCGAGAATGACAGAGTTAAGGCACGATGAGCTACAGAATTCCGTTCACACCGTGTGAGGATGTGATCATTCCTTGTTCTCATCGAACAAAGAATGAGAACTTTCAGATGATGAGAACGAAGCACAATAGTACTGGTCACTGCACATATTCTGCTCCTCTCTAATAAGACATTCATGTTTCTATTCTATCAGAAACGGTTTATTCTTCAATATAAACTGTATCTACTCATATTCACTCAACAAACGTTTAGACAATTTTGAAAAGCACTATACTTATTGTTCGATCTTGGGAGACTGTCACCCATCCTCTTACTAATCGCAGTTTTTGACACAAATCGAGAAAGACATAAAATTGTATTGTCAAGTCGAGCTTCATATTCAAGTACTAAATTATGTTGTATCATAGTTATATCGATGAATGGAATCTATTCTAAAACTTCCTTACATCCCGATCGATTTATCATTTTTTCTATATTCCATCCAGAATGTCGAACGATATATCAAAAGTTTAAGTTTTTCGTGTGTTTTACAGTTTGCTCTCATAACGTTGTCATTTCCCTTAATTGTTTTTATGACGAAATTTTGTTTTATATTTCCAACAGGATATTAGTGTTTTTCTGTATCCTGATTGGAGCTATTAGAAGATGTTCTTTATTGCCTTACTTTTTCGAAGATTTTCGATATTAATTAACGAGTGTTCAATTCGTGTTGACGGCTAGAATTAGACGCCCAAAAAATTAAAAACTTCTCTTCGTTTTTCAAAAACAAATTTTTAAATTTGATGTTTCGACTCGAATTTTTAACAGTGTGGAACCGTAGATACGAACTGAAGTTCTGATACTGAACTGAAGTTTATTACTACCTGGAAGAGATGTTCAAAACTTCATGATGAATCTTGAATCAATCTTATTAAAACTAACAGTTTTTCATCCCATCTTATGCAAATCTTTGCCAAAATAATCTCTACCTTGGTATAATTTTAAATAAAATCTTGAGTTTTTTGGATCTGACAATCTTGACAAGATTCAAATAAGTTTCTCATCGATCATCCGATTACATCTATTTTTAGCAACTGTTGATTTTAAATACGTCCAATAACAGAGTATCAATCAATTTTCGCCCTAGTTTATTAGCATGCGAAAGATATTTCGATTTATAATAATTTTTGTCCTGTTCTCAGAGACCTTTTAGAACAAATATAGGCTTTTTTTATAATATATGAATTATCTATATAATATATCAAGTTAGTTAGTTAATGTTGAAAGAATGACGACTAAAAAATTAGAATAAAAATGTACAGAAAGATCAAAAATATAAACATACTCAAAATTAATTGTTCTCTCTGTCTATCAGACTAAATAGTATGAAAAATTTGTTGTACGATATAACTTCTCAAATTTTGTATCAAAAATTATCTATTAACAAACGATATTATACTGAAATATAGTGCTAATTTACACTAACCTGTATATGACAATAAACGACATATAATTAACGAATATTCTTCTAAATTTTTTTTTTTAATTAACATCATTCCATTAGTATGACCATCTTCATCATCATGTTGATGTTGATTAATATAAAATTCTCGATAAACATAGTTCAAATTAAATGTATACAATGTGATACAATCTAACAGTGCCAAATAACCAAAAATAGTTTTTATTGAACTTGAACGATTTTGTTTTTGAAAATATATACATATACACAATATATTACATGGTGTGCCAATAATAATTAGTAATAGAGAATATATTGATAATAGACGATTTGTTAATAGTGTAGGAATCCATGATGGTGTTGTGGTTATTACTGTAATACTACTACTATTGCTACTGACATTCATTGTTATTTTTACTGTTTTTGTTGTTCAACTTATCAAACAAATACGATGATAAAGATCCCATGTTCATTTGAAAAAATATATGTTTCTTGAACGAACGAGAATGCATTAATTTTTCTCTTCTATCTCTAATATATTTCTCTTTTTCCTCGCATACAGAAAAAAAAAGTGAAAAGGAAATCGCTGTCTCTCTCTCGCTCTCTCTCTCTCTCTTTCTGTCTCTCTTCGTTTATACTATACCTGATGCTTTGGCATATTTTATCAATTTTGCTCAAAATATATATATGTTAATCAAAACTGACAGTAATTCCTTGATTAATTAAATTAAATTTATAGATTTATGTTAAAAAAAGAGAGTGATTTTTCAAGAATCGTTATTGTTATGTACGTATATATATATAAAAGAAAAAAGAACACCCGATATACCATTGTTTTTTTTCGTTTGATCATGACAATAGATGATTGTTGTTGATGATTATTATCAGATATGACATTGATCGGGCACTTGTAATAGCAAAATCAATATCTTTCTCTCTCTCTCTCTCTCTCTCTCTCTATATATATATATATATATATCTACTGTATATATATATACATATATATGTTATTTAAGGTAGGTGTCCTACACAGGACAGGCTTGTACGTGTTACATAAACAAATGTTTCATATCATTCATACTGTGACAGATTGTAACAATTTATAAAACAATAGAAAACAGGCTTATTTCATAATAGAATTCATTATTGTTCAAACATCCACTTGTTTAGATTTATAATCATCATTTGAACTTCATCATTATAAAGAATTAATTAATTTTGGTACTAAACTTGATGAATTTTAATTTCAATCATAGTGTACAAATTCACTATGTAATCCTATATATTTCTTTTTAATATAAAAAAAACTATCTACGCATCATCAACACAAGTAATAAAAATGATACTATTATTGATGTGTTAAAAAAACAGCATGTATCTAGAATAATATATTATATTATGATCAAACATTTAGTTCTATCTTCTGCTTATATAATATGATGTGTGATATGCACGAGCAACAGAGAATACAAGCAAAATTGGTCAATATGTCATTTCATCGATTAATACAGATTTTGGCAGTTCGTAATCTCTATTAAACATATACGGGTAGACTAATAACACACCAATTATCTTCTATAAAAGTATCGTTTTGACTTTTATCAATTGACACAAAGAATTAAGAAGTATTGAGATGTCAGATTATAATTATCCGTTAAAATAAAAATAGCTCAGATCTAAAAATGTCCTTGGTTAAAGATTAGTTTAGACGTCCTTTCATTTATTATTTTTTTTTTTTAATGAAAATGATGACAACATTCTATCCTAAGGGTTTTGAATAACTGACAATGAAAAAAACACTTCATGTATATTAACATAACGGGTTATAATAAAGATTAACGTCAACGTCATATTTCCTGTTTGGTATTAAGCTTTTCCAATGAAATCTCAAATGAATCGAAAATCGATACTTTATCTCTTTTCTTGTTAAATAGAATTTTGTTGAAAAACTATGTTTGTGTATTTTTGTTATATTTAATAAAAACAAATATACGATGGAATTACTATTTTCTTAACCCTATTTGCTTAAAGGATATTCTCTCTGATTTTGTTTTTGATCTATTTTGTTTGCATGATAAGAAATTAAGATAATTTTCTCATTTATATTTTATTTTTATTGTATGTGTGTGTGTGTGTGTGTGATGATTTTACTCTTTAGTCTAAATCTATACAAAAGGTGGAACAAATTTACTTTCTAATTTTCACACAAAGTATCAATGTGCATGATTATATATCAGTTTGGCGATAATTAATTGCTTCTAAAACAAATAAGCGTTTTTACAGTGAGATTCAGTCAACTGAGATACGAAATTAATTGTTGAGGCTAAATTTGTTAACATGTTCATTGTAAAACGTTGATGCCAGTAACATTCTTGCATTGTTAAATATACAAATATTACCGTATTAACAATTCTAGTTTTCCAGTGAGTCTCTGAAAATCCAACCAAAAATTATTTATTATTTAGATAATTTGACAATGCTTTTGTATAGAGAACGTCGAAAACTATACACACTAGAATTTCCAAGTTAGAGTGCATGGTATTTAACGCATTTGTAATGGAATAAGTTTTGTTCAGTATTGTAAAATACTTATTAATGTCTATAAAAAGCTGTTCAGATTTTTAAACAAAATGATCTAGGTCACTGCTCTCTATCTCAACATGTGAAACTATTTCTCATGTATTTCTCTCCTTTATGACCGTTTTCCGGCCAATATATACCAAAAGTGATCATTAACTGCAATAATTTTGTAAAAAGGAATATCATGAATTAAATTTTAAAACTATTTTTGAAAACATCTTTTAATTTACGAATTATAGCCATTCTACAAGTTATGCTCCATTTTATCATCTTGATACGAAAGAATGTTTTCGCCCTGAGTCAATAGACTTATATCTATTTTCATGATAGATTCTTATTTGTTTGGTTATATTTATTTTAGATGATATGCAAGTCTAGTCTTGTGAAAAGAAACAGATTTTAATCTTAACCTGCATAGTTCTTAATTAAATAAATGAACTTCGTGAGAAAAAATTCTATTTTTTCCGACGGATCAATACATGTATATGGCTTTTACATCAAGAGAGCTGTTTCATCCCTCTAGTGAATGTACTCAAGCATGAGTACTCAAATTAGTACTCAACAAAAGTAATTCAACAAGTACTCATAATAGCACTCATATGAAATTTCTGACTTCATTAGTACTCGTGTTAGAATATATTTTAGTTGTTGGATAGTTAAATGACGATTTTTTTGAGTACTCATAGTCTGGTTTTTTAAGTACTCAAAGCTTTTTTTGGTTAAATGGTTTAGTTATTCGTGTTACTGATTACGATAATTCTCACACGTATTAGATTGCCCAATTTTGCACTGGTCAAACGAGTCGTTAATGGACTGATGAAAAAACGTTTATTTACAATCTTTTCATCGAATATATAACAAGAAAAAGCCTCGTTTCAATAAAAACGAAGGTGATTATGCCAAAAAGACAAATCATTTTGTATATAGTCAGAGAAAATTAATCGTTTCGCTTGAGTTGCGAGAGAAAAAGTTCGATAGTAAATCGAAAATGAATTTTGAAAAAATTCTAGCTATGATATTTTTGTTTATAAAAATGTATTATTCTATCATACAAGGTACATGTATTGGAGAGGTCACGTTATAATGGCTAAGAGATAACTATTAATTCAAAAAAAAAGCAAAAAAACACAACCAGAATTTCTTGTACTTTCAGCCATAAAGCATAACAATAAGTGCAAAAAAGAGTTCTTATAAAAAATTTTCTTCTTTTATTCGTCTACTAATCACTAGATCAATTTTACTTTTTCCGATTGACAATCTCTTTCACTTATTAAAAAACATCGTCTTATAGTTTGTATCTTCATTATAAATCTGGAACTATTCTCGTAAAAGTCCAAAAGAAAGGATTGTGACAAGATCAGCGAACTGAACACTCAGTTTGAGAGAAGCAAGAGAAACAATCAAACCAATAGTGTTCTGGACAGACGTTGTTCTTTTTTCTTTAAAGAGCCCAGAAAGCAAGATGTACGTGTAGTTGATCATGATAAAGTGGTATACAGACAATAATCATGATTAGCTTTGTCGTGTATACACCGTGATTGTCTGTGTTGTGATATATTAAAGAGATTTCGATATTTATATTATTAGTGTAAATAAAAAAACAAGCAAAACAAATAGTGTATAAAATGTGATAATAAGTAAACTAAAATTATGTAAAATTTTTCAAATAATATCTATAAAACTGTATATGTTCACTAACAAAATGGAAAACGTCAACATAGACAATTTCATACTGTGTGTTGGCATTTCTGATTGATAGTTCTGACTGTAGAGTACAAAATACAGTAAAATATGGAATGAAGATATATATTCTATTCTGAAAAAAAACTACCCAAGTAGTAAATAAAATAAAAAAAAAAATGGACATTTAATAAAATTATGTCAAAATTAGTACTAAAATTCAATTCTTGACAAGTCAAAAAGACTAAGTTGAAACGAAACAATGAAAAACATTGATATTGAGAAAAATATTTGTTCCATGTACATATTTACATGCGAGAAAACAGAGACGGAATGTTGAGAAATTATTTCGTGTTAATGTTTTCTAACACTTCATACAGATGTTTTAACAGATGAATTTGTTAATAACAAATGTGATCCGTTTGAAGGTGATTTTCGATTTTGTGAACGTTTCTCATCCACGGCATCGTACGGTGATCTTAACCAACGAGCATCCATAAAAAATAGAATACCTAAGGATAAAAGGCAACATATATATATATATACAATCATTGAAAAATATCGTCTTTTAGTTTCTCACACAAACTGTCCTTTTTTCAGCATATTTCACTCCTTCGTCAAAGTTCCAATAGTTACACACAAACAAAACCTGCATCCATAACTGAAACTCTCATGCCTTGTTAATGTCAAACTTGTGGAAGACAAAGACTGTATTTTGCTCAAAATTCTGTTGCACTAATAACAAATCTGAAAATTGAAAACAGGATAAATTCTTACTTGCGAAAAATGCACCAACGGCTGCACAGAATTCAAGCCAATAACCAAATGAGAAGAAATTAAATTCTGGTCGTGGCATCCAGAGTCGATCTTGACCACGCACACCATAAATTGCTATTGCAAGTACTTCTAATATACCTTACAAACAAGAAGTAAAATGTTTATTTTCAACTTAAGTATAGTTAAATTAAACAAATATACGTACAGATAGCAACTGAAATAATACCAAAAATGAGTATACTTATCCAACGCCAACGAAATGTTGAGAAGAGTGCTACAGCAATAGCTGACATCAAAACAATCGTAAATATGAATGCCAATGTTGCAAATGCTTGAACCCATTTGAACCAAGCTTAAAAAAGAAATGAAAGTTTTTCTAGTGACAATCAGTATTCTCATAATAATACATACGTGGTATAATCCAATCACGAAATCGATACATATCATTTGCCCAAAACCAAAAACAGCCAGTATATGGTTTTTGTAAATCATCTTTATAATGTCTATATTTATACAAACACAATTCCCAAAGGCCGATATGTCTAAAGTCTTTCGGCGTATCTTGATAACGAGCCTAAAACAGAAGGTATTCTGTTACATCAAGTCAAATTTTTATAAATTAAATTGCTTACCGTCCAATAAGGTGCTGCAAATGCCGTTATACAACATAGTGTACTTATAAACATTAAAATACATGCAATTATAAAATACAGAGAATAATCGGCATTACCAAATCGTATAAGACCCATCTATAACTAAACAATTCTTAAAATTTGTACTTTGAAAACACAAATTTATTCTACTGTGAATAGAAAAGGGATAGAAATTATTTAATTTGTATGATAATAAAGTACTATTGAGCTCCTATCGCAATCTTTCATCCGTATTTGTTAGTATATTCTGAGCTATAACAAAACAAGTAATATATGGTCTAGTCATATTTATAGCCCAAAATTTTTATTTAAAATACCAACAAACATTAAAAGAAAATAATAGGATTAAGATTTTTTTCCTCCTCTTTTAACCGTTACCCATCCATCATTGGCTTCATCTAAATCCATGGATTCTGTTTTAGTTTGATTTTTTTGTTGCCCATTAAAATTTTTATTTTCATCCATTTTTTCCTCCTCATCCTCATCGTCACTATCACTATCACTCGATTCATTATTCTCATTTTTATTTTGAACAGACATGGCAACACCGGTGGCTTGTTGTGATTGTTTATCAAGTTCACAAAGTACATCAGTTATTTTTCCATTATTTATCATATTGACATAATTTAATAATATAATCGATAATTCCTCACTTGATCCATCGTCTAAAACTGTATTAAATTCATCATCCATAACATCATCTAAATATTCTTGGATATCTTTTGCAACAGACGTTGACATACTGGTATGACACTTAATTGTTCTCATCAAATATTCTTCTAATGCTGATATAAATGCTTCATATTTCATCTCACTCATTGGACCACCCATACCATTCGAGATAGCTAGCTGCAATCCCGTCCAACGAGAAAATACTGCGCGAATTACTTGAGAAAGTCCACTCATCTAAAAAAATAACTATATTTTTCAAAAACAATTTGACTCTTCTAAATAGACACATGTTTGTTTCACAAAAAGCTTAAGTTTAAGACAAAATTAAGTTTGTGACTCAAGTTCATCTTAATCTATGATATTTCTGAGTCTGCTTCATAAACTTGAGCTAAGTTAGGCATCGAACTTAATTTTAGATAAAATTTATTGTGAGAAATACTCTTAGAACTACTGATAAAATACTCCGAAATCATTTAAGATGAAGAAATAATGCTGGAAAATAGTCTCATTTATGGTAAACAAATCAGTTTTTCACGTTGTCAAGTAACAATTAGTTTTACTGACGAGCGAGAATAAATAACTGAATAATCTATTAAGATCAGGATCAACAACACTTGTATTTGAAATCACCATCATAGGTATCAAGCTTTGGAATTAACTATTTGATTCGTTTTAAATTGTTTAGTTGGCAAAATCAGTCTTTCAATGAATAATTTGAGACTTTGGTGTGAAATTATTACAACGAAAACGTTTTTACGGGAATTTTGTTTGTGTACCGGCTTAGAAAAAAACGACACATAATTTCATTCCAAATCAATTATTTCGGAGTAACTATTCCGCCTTGTCAGAAATTTGCTATGAAACTTATTCAAACCTTGAAATTAGTCAATTAGTTTTTTGGTTTGAAAAGACATTAGCGACTTCATAAGTGTAGACTAATGCTGACCAATCAATACTTCAGCCTTTATCCTTCACGCTCTAATGTGTTAAATGAAGAATCTACCTTATTCGTAGATATTAACACCATTAAGAAATCAACGTCAAACTATAATCATAATAAGATATTAAACTTGAACCTGAACAGCTGATGGACTAGACAGTAAAACAGCATAACAACAATTTGTCAGATCTTTTATTCTATATTATAAGCCACTGATTTCTTTTAACAATGAGTTTATTCAATTCTGGTAATTGTTGTCGTGATTTATCTTTACGCGAACACTTTTCAAGAAATACGATTTCTTCAATAATTGCTGGCATTCTGGTTAGTATTGTTTTCTTTTTGTGTAATGATACAGTTAGATTTAGCGTTTTCGAGATAATTTTTCTATAACCGTGAATACAATATGTTTACAGTTATGCTAATTTTCTTTTTACAGTTCGCCGTTGGCTGGTGGCTCATCATTGATGCAACATGTTCGTTTCAAACACATGCCGATTTTAATAAAGTGTTTCATATAATTGGAGTGATAGGAACCGTAGCACTTATTTTGTAAGTAGAGAAATTAAACTCTTAAATGCAACGCTGTCAGCAATGTATAGCGACAACTTGTTTCTGTTATTGATACTTTACATTGCTTCGGAGAGGAGAATGGGGTGTATCTGATGCTTTTAAGAAAGAAATAAACGTTTTCAGAAAAAAAATCACTTTTCTTGAATTAGAGTAAGACTAAGACCCTTCGTCGTGCACGTTCATTGGAAAAAAATTCGACGGATAGTTATTCGATCCAAAGCTCATTATGTTACACATGATTCGATGCAATCCGCTGCGCTGATTCCGAACAAAATCTTATTTTTCCTTAAAAGTGTTCATGGACTGAGAAAAATAGATATTATCTGAAAAAGCAGGATTTTTTGGAAACTACAGCAAGAGCTAGAGAATGAGTTGCATTAAGTTGCATGTGCTATAGATGTGGTGTAAATAGATGAATATTTTGGTAAAGTTTAGCGAAGTTTGAAGTTCCGAAAAATTCGGCGAACTCCTTACACTTCTACAGAAAATTAGCCAGCCTGGAAAATAAATTTGTCTCTCCAACACTATAAGTCCAAACTGGAAAATTGTTTTGTTAATTTTGTCAAAGAAGAGTCTAGATCTATAGTCTATACCGTTTTAGTTTTAGACTTAGTTGGCTTTAATGATAAACTTATTTTACTACCCTCAATGTGTTTTGAGGCTTATTGCTTTGTCTAAGTATTTTCTTATAATGCTTAACAGTTACAACAAAAATTCTTTTGGGAACATATGATCCATACCTTGCGGTATAGTTTTCTATACTGAGATAAAAAAAATAGAGCGAGGACTTCGATTTTTTTTGCTAAAGGTCCGTCTGGATGCACAATGGGAGGCGGAGAAGGCGTTTCATCAATATTTTTTTATAAATGTGTGAACTTAACTACGGACTTTCTTCTCTTTAGAATAAATGCTGTGTCGAATTCGCAATTCCGTGGTGATTCTTACAGTGAAAGTTGTCTGGGAAAATTTGGTAACAGTAGTATTTTGTCCTTGTCTTTACACGCATCAGCTTTTTATGTATTTCATTAGGATCTGGAATGGTCTTATTTGTGGCCTTTTTACTATTATTTGGGTCATTGATATCATCGGCTTGGGTGATGTTTGCTTCTTACATTATTCCAAGTATTTCTTAAATACTCCTCAGTTTTACTTTTCCTATAGTTTCTTTCTTCTTATTCATAGAAAAAACCGTGATCTACCCTGGTGTGGCAATATTCGGACAAAATCTGGCTATTTTTGTTAGGTGAATTATGAACGTATCTCTTCTGTTACAAACAAGACCATTGATTTTTCATTTTTAGTGCTGTGGTGTTAAAATTTGGACGAAGTGAAAATACTGATTTTTGAATGATGTGCAAAAATAAGAATGAATGAATCGAATGTATTGGATGATAGTTGGTTTTTTCTTCATCAAAATTTTTGAGATATTTTTCCTTTTTTTTGCTAATTGATTGTTATCGTTTTCTCACTGTTAGGTTTCATTTTTAACTATTACATTACGCAATTTTATAATTTTTTTCTTTTGAGAAAATATTTTTTGTATATATATAACTTAGTTTGTATCTATATCAACGACAAGTCGTTATTGTATATATTTGTTTCTTTAAATCTATGGCTAGTCAAGTTAGGTCAACTCCAGCATCGGAGTTTGAGTTAATTAGTGAACGGAGTTGACCAATCCTACTGTTAATATATATAGCATCTATGTAAATATTTTTAAATGTCTTTTTTGCCACTATTGAAGCATGTCCAGATTAATCAGATACCTTTATATATTCATCTCATTTTTTATCTTCATTATTGCTTTTAATGTATAGAGTGTGCTGTTTTTGTTGCCGTAGACATAAATAATTTCTTGCTTATCTTTTTTCGATGATTGGGCTTATAACTGCTGCAATGACGGCAGTTTACATGCCACCGATGGTAGAGCCGATAGAAAAAAACAATTTTTCCATCTTATCCATATTTGTTGAATACCTTTTTTAATTCTAGAGATCTTTTTGCGTGCGTTGGCACTTATATAAACAAAACGCTCATCGATACATTTGTGAAAAATCGGCTCAAAATATGGATCTTCTAGCGGTTTTACTAGTTCATCTCCCAACTCTTCTTGGTTCGCTCCTCTTAGGACGCTTAAAGAAAACACGTCACTGTGAGTAGGGCGAATCAAGGATACTCGTTAAAATAAACAGTATTTTTTTAAGTCTTGTAAAATTCAATTATCTTAGAGATAATCAGTATGAACTAATTGAGGATATTTTAATGCCACTGGATCTCTTATCATTATCATCTCATTAATCATCTCTGGAACACGTTGGAATCAAATCAAAAGTTGTTTAGTGAAGACTGATTGAAATCCATTTGACGCTTTGAACTAGAGTAAAACACACAGAAAACTAGCTGCTTTATTCTTGATTTTAGTCGAAGAAAACATCATGATCAAATCAGTAAAAATAAACAATTTTTTCACACTGATATGTGCTTTGTGAGTACAGTTGGATATTTCTGATGTGTAAGTTAGAGTCTCATAAGCAATTCCAGATGACTTGTTCCTGATTTAAGATAAAGTTTTGCCACATTATACATCAGCCCAAAGAAAAACATTATGATGTATCCTGAAATTTAACGAAAATTATAGGTTTATTAATATTTTCAACCATCTTGTTGTTTTAAGAAAACATGTTCATCATTAAAAAGAAATCGTCGAATTCAAGAATTGTTATTTGAACCTGTACAGCATAAAAATAATGAGCTCCATTTGTCAACTTAGTTAAATGAATGCACATGATCTAGCGACTTATATTAATAACAAATAAATAGCAAACAGTAGATATTTCAGAGAAAATAAAAAATGAACACAGCGTTCATATACCTTTGATAGTTATATTTATTTTATAAAGTCAGAAATATGTGATACACTTTCTTTATTAAACTTTTAACATAAATGTAAACTAAAATGAAAAAAAATTTGATATCTTTACAAGATTTCAAAACTCACAAAAATTCATATTAATGCTCGTAAGTGTTGTAGTATGTCATTCGGGAAATCATGAATATATACATAAGCACGCATGCATTTTTTCTAAGGTTGTTGCACTAACTTATTGAACACGCACAATACACTATTGATAAAAGTAAAATAAAAACATTAGCAATAAATGTTTTTAATGTTGATTTTTTATTGTTATAAAGATTATAGAATGATGATTTAGATAAGATTTTATGTTAGTTAATTTAAAACTACTGAAAATAGTAGATAGATTAATTAGAGATTTCCGAACTAAATTCGAACCAATAAAAAATGGCCATTTTTTTTTTCTTTTTTTAGTATATACGTTATTTTGATTGACTTCATCATCAATATGATAATATACAATTCTATTTTTATAAAAATTATAAAATTCTTCATATAACCGTATATTTCCTTTCTCAAAAATTAATTTGTCACGATATAGTGTACGATCATCATGCAAATATACGCTTATTGCTCTTTTATATAATTAATACAACTGGAGAATGTTTTCGAATAAAAATCGATTATGATGAATGTGTACATGAGTATGAATATAGACGATTGAGTAGAAGGAAAAAAAAAGAAGAGGGATCATGTAAACGATAAATAAAAATCTATGAAAAATGGGAGAGAGAAAAAACCTCTTAAATGAACCGTTGTTATGCTATTCACTTTATCTCAATTAGAACGTTAATACTCTCTAATCAT